CTTTGGGGGTGGGGAGACAGAGGGAGAGAGAGAGAGAGAGAAAGGAAGAGAGAGGAGAGGAACAGACTGACAGAGAGAAAGCTCTCATCTTCTGGTCCAACCCCCTGTTACCTGCAATGGCCAGGTCTGGGTAGGGCTGTAGGCAGAAACTGGAAACTCACTGCAGCTTTCCCACATGGGTGGCAGAGAACCAACTACTTGAACCACTGCCCATTGTCTTGCAGGCTGTACATTCATCAGGAAGCCAGAATCAGGAACAGAGCGGGGACTGAAACCTAGGTATATGGTTATGGGATGCAGATGTCTCAACTGGCATCCTAACAAGTGCTCCTGGCAGTATCATTTTGACTGAGAGAGAGAGAGAGAGAAAGTGATATTCAGAAGAAAAGTAGTTTTCATAAATACAGGTGCAAAACTTCCAAACTGTTAGCAAACCAAATCCAATTATCTACTTAACAGTCCTAACAATGACTCTTTTAGGTGTCTACAAAGATTATACCAATAACTCAATAATCCAAAATTTTAATTGTGTATTCTCACATCAGTCTATTAAATGAGACCAACCAAACAGTCATCTCAAAAGATTCAGCAAAATGTTTAATTTTTGTTCACAATACAAATTCTTACCCTTCAGGAAGTAGAATGGACATTTTATTAGCCTCATAAAAGATATCAGTAAAAAAATTGGAAAGACAAAGAAGAACAAGAATATTCCTAAAACAATATTATCCTATTATATCCAATATTATGTGCAATTTCTGTAAGTATTGCACTTAAATTCAGGTGTAAGATACAAATGTTGTCTACAAATACCACTATATGAAATATATTGGGATGTTGACCAAGATAATGAAACAGGGACATAAGTAACAATTATAATTATTTGAGAATCACTAGTAATACCATTGTAGAAATCTAAATAAACATGCAAAGAAAATAAAGGCAATTGATAAAATAGGAGCGATATGAATGTTTATAAAATGAGTTTATAAAAGTCAGATATAGTTATATGCATCACCAACAAAAGAAGAAATATTAATATTAGCAAACATAATTTTAATATGTTCAAAATATCAAGACTATAAAACAAAAAATAATATGTCTAACAAAACATGGAAGGCCTATAAGCAGAAAATTAAAAACTTTAATGATGGACATAAATTGAACAATCCTATATTCATGGATGAGGAAACAATTGATATTATATAGATGATATTCTTCCAAGACTGATATATAGATTTAATGCAGTTCCAATCGAAATAATTATTGGTTTGTCTTTTTCTTATTTATGTTTTGGTGGAATATGACCATTTAGCTTTAAAATTAATTTGGGTTGACAAAGAAGAAATTATAAGCTGCTTTATGTAAGGAGGTGCAGATATCAGCAAGCTGTAGTATTTGTAAGTGTGTGTTATTGATGTAGAGATGGACAAATTCATGAAAGGAACAGGAAGAGAATACAGAAAAGAAATGCATCCATGTTAGATTTAGAACGGACTTTGCATGGAAGAAAGTTGAATTATTCAGTAAAGGAGAAGATGGATAAAATTGATAGGAAAATTGATGCACTACAGGCAAAAGAAATGCAGGGAGGGAGAGAAGAAAGGATGGGGGCAGAGTAGGGAGGGAGGGAAAAAGGAAACCTGCCTCACCTTGCAACAAGTGAAGAATTTCTGTCTTGAAAATAAAGCTGACATTTCAGATGAGTGTATATGAATCCTCTCCTGAACTCTGCGTAAGCAAGATTTTCTTATGAAAGTCTGGTCGAGGTACTGGAGACCATAGAAAAGTTGGTAAATTTAAATGCATTAATACTACAATCTGGTTCGCTAATGAAAGTAATTAAAAAAAAAAAAAAAAAAAACCTTTCAACTTGCAAAAGGCAATTTGAAAAATGTAGAAACTGGCCGGCGCTGCGGCTCACTAGGCTAATCCTCCGCCTTGCGGCACTGGCACACCGGGTTCTAGTCCCGGTCAGGGCGCCGGATTCTGTCCTGGTTGCCCCTCTTCCAGGCCAGCTCTCTGTGGTGGCCAGGGAGTGCAGTGGAGGATGGCCCAAGTGCTTGGGCCCTGCACCCCATGGGAAACCAGGAGAAGTACCTGGCTCCTGCCATTGGATCAGTGCGGTGCGCCGGCCGTGGCGGCCATTGGAGGGTGAACCAACGGCAAAAGGAAGACCTTTCTCTCTGTCTCTCTCTCACACTGCCCACTCTGCCTGTCAAAAAAAAAAAATGTAGAAACTAAAAGGAAATGGAATAAAGGACAAGTATAAGAGTTTTATTAACTAACAAGGTGTGTGTGTGTGTGTGTGTGTGTGAGAGAGAGAGAGAGAGAGAGAGTAGGAAACAGGGACAGACAACATGAGCAGACATTTCTCAGAAAGCAAATTCATGAAATTAAGATGTGTGACAACTTTAGAGAAGATGCACTCAGTGGAGTTCACCTGTTGTGTACCAGTGCAATTCTCTGGGAAAGAAATTGGCATCACCTTGTACAGTTGTGTGTTAGTAGATCTTCCTATGAAGAATCCACTACACACAAGCTCCAAGAATGTATTTTTTTAATAATAGAAAACTAATCAGTCCAAGGCTAGTGACAGGGATGTCCAAAGGTAAAGTCAAATAAATGGAATTTCACAAGAAGGTAGAGACAGAAAGAAATTAAGCTATGGCATCCAAGAATCTCAGTAGCAATGCTAGTGGGGACACCAGAAAGCAGAATGGAGTGTGGATGATGACACAACATAATAACCAGCTCATTGCTCAGAAGAGTGCTTGGCTTTGTGAATGATTAAAACAGGTGCTAGAGGGAAAGGGTTCAGATATATGTGTAAGCTATTGGTAGTATTCTACCTCCTGTGTGGACAGTTGTCACACATTGTTTATTATGTTACACATAACCAATAGGAAAAAAACATTTGAAATGTGTCTGGCTGTACATTTATACTATATAAAGAAATGAATGAAAGTTTCATGTTTTGCATTTTTGGGAAAATTTTTGCTTATTTTGAAAGGCAGAGAGATGGGGAGAGGGAAAGAGAGGGAGAGAGAGCGAGAGTGAGCGAGCTAGCTCTCACTGCTGGTTTACTGCCCAAATGCCCACAACCACTGGGACTGGGCCTGATCAAACCAGGGAACTGGAATTAAATATAGGTGTCCCTTGTGGATGTCAGGAACTCATTGGTTGAACCATGTTGCCTTCCAGTTTCTCCATTAGCAGAAAGCTAGAACTGGAGACGGGATCTGGACTTGAACTCAGGCGCTAAGATGTGAGATATAGGTACTCCCAACAGCATCTTAGCCACTTTTGCCAGATGCCCCACCCCATGTCTTAATTATCCATGGCTATTATCGTCACATAATGAGTTTTGGTTAATTTTTATACAATTTCTATTATATTGATGCACTGTTGATGCTACATTGACAAATTATTTCTTTAAAGGGCGCAAATGCAGAGTTTGTAAAAATAATCTTAAAAGATAGCTAGATAGAAATGAGTGGGAAGGCTTCACAGAAGACCTACATCCCCTGTGAACCTACGAAAGTATGCTCCACTCACAAGGAAATAGGAAAATGTGTTTTTGGCAGGGCACTGCTTTTCACTCGGTATTAAAGAAATACTACAGAGTTGTTTGTTTGTACTGTTGGGGTTGCAGAGAAATCGACACACACTCAGCAGTGAAAGGCTTCAGAGTGATTTGCTGGTGCAGAACATTTTCCCCCCAGCAGCCTTCAGAATCACCTGCTCACACACGTGTGTCTCAGACTGTTAACCACAGCACTTTTTTTTTTTTTGGTGATAGCAAAATGCAAGGAATAGTTTAAAAGTCCATGGAGACAAATGATCTATCTATTCTTGCACAACACTCATTCATACATCAGGATGTGACACTGGAATGTCATGCTGTGACATGATGGGGCACATAGCATTTGTGACATGCTGATACAGAAGGAGCTCTCAGACACACGTTAGGCAAAGAAAGAACACCAGTAAATGAAATGTACAGCACGATCCCATTCATGCTGAAAGTGGATGAGTAATAAGGATTTACATATCCACATCCGTATATATAAATATACAGGAAACTGATTCCGATAGTGTCATATTAACTTTGTGAACAGTCGCTGTCTCTGGGGGATGCAAGGGAAAGAAATTTCTAAAGTTTCTGTCTTGTTCCAGTTCTTCTGTTGCAATCCGATAGCATATATGACTGTCAAACTGGCTGCATTACCTACTGCTGTGACTATTCCCAGGGTAGCTGAGTTAATGAGTTTGCAACGGGAAGCAGCAGGTGTTTTCTATAGCTGACCCAGCAATTAAGCTTGAACATTCAGGGGCGGAAAACCCGGTTTAACAGGTCAGAGTGCAAGGTGATGTTGGGCTCCTATTTGCGGGATTCTAAGTCCGAAGGAAATACTGAAGCATTTGGCTATCCTCCGTGAGTGGCAGGCATCTAACAATTTGAGCCATCACCTGCTGCCTCCAAGGGTACATCTTATTAGAAAGCTGGAATCAGAAGCAGAACCCAGGCACTCGGATAAAGGGTGCAAACATTGTAAGTAGCATCTTAGCTGCTGCAGCAAATACCTGCCCCTCAGAACAATTTTTGATTGACAAGAATTATTACATGAAATAGTGGATAAGGGTACAAAAAATTTTGAAATTCAAACGTAGTTTTTTGAGATAGGCATTTTACATGAACTTTTTGAAGGATATGAACTACACATTATATCTGGGAGCATATCTTATCGAAAAGTATAATAATTTATCAGTTTTTAAATTTCAGAGTTTATGAAAATATATTTGACAAAGAAGTTAGGATATATATTTACTAAATATGGAATAGGTTACTACAAATTATGGTTAAGTGATATGTAAAATATCAGTGGAGTACTTTCGTTCCTAAAATAAAAACGTATTTTCTTGGAGAAAATGCTAATAGCACAAAACTGACATAGTTTAAAATATCAACCAGGTACCATAATGTGCTTATTTTTCAGGTTAAACTTTTTCCGTGATGTTCCTGACTTCCGAGTGTTAGCCTGTGGTGGAGATGGAACTGTGGGCTGGATTTTGGATTGCATAGGTAATGAGGATGCATATTTAATGTGACTGGCGTGAGAATGGTAACATTCCGTTCTGTTTTGTGTATCCCTGTATCCAATAGCTATCTCTCCATTTCATTAATTAGCATATCTTTGTATGCAAGGACATTATTGGATAGCTAATGAGTTACACATTATTTACTAGTTCAGTTTATTTTTCTTTAGTTCAAATTTTAACTGATATACTAATTTTGCAAGTGTCTAAAAGTCTTTCCTTTCTAATCCATTTCTCATTGAAGTTGGTAATTCTTGAGAGATGTTTTTGGATCAGGCTCTAGACAATCTGCTTGTTTCTTTGTACCAAAGCTATCTTAGCACTTCTGATGAAGTCTATGCCAGGTAGATGTACTTACTTTATTTTTATTTTTTTAAACTTTTATTTAATAAATATAAATTTCCAAAGTACAGCTTTTGGATTACAGTGGCTTTTTCCTCCCATAACTTCCCTCCCACCCGCAACCCTCCCATCTCCCGCTCCCTCTCCCATCCCATTCACATCAAGATTCATTTTTAATTCTCTTTATATACAGGAGATCAATTTAGTATATATTAAGTAAAGTTTTCATCAGTTTGCACTCACACAGAAACACAAAGTGTATAGTACTGTTTGAGTACTAGTTATAGCATTAATTCACATTGAACAACACATTAAGGACAGCAATTCTACATGGGGAGAAAGTGCACAGTGACTCCTGTTGTTGATTTAACAATTGACACTCTTGTTTATGGCGTCAGTAATCTCCCTAGGCTCTTGTCATGAGCTGCCAAGGCTATGGAAGCCTTTTGAGTTCGCCAATTCCCATCTTAATTTAGACAAGGTCATAGTCAAAGTGGAAGTTCTCTCCTCTCTTCAGAGAAAGGTACCTCCTTCTTTGATGGCCCGTTCTTTCCACTGGGATCTCACTCACAGAGATCTTTCATTTAGTTTTTTTTTGTTTTGTTTTGTTTTGTTTTTTTTACCACAGTGTCTTGGCTTTCCATGCCTGAAATACTCTAACATGAACCTTAAAAACCTTATTCTCTGTGTACATTCATATAATTATCATCAGCAGTAATCATCATCATCACTGTTTTATTTATTATTTACTATCTGATAGTCCTAAATCATCTCGTGTCTTCCTTAGAACTCTGTTCCATAAATTCTAACAGTAATCCCTTTTAGCAATTTGGAATTGAAGACCTAGAGAAGCTGAGTGGCTAGACCATCATCTTAACAGCTGTGAGCTGACAGAGCTGAAATTAGAACCCACTCTTAAATCTTATCCTGTATTGTCTCTCTAGTTAAATGTAAATAGACTTGTTTTTATAAGTAAACAAAACAGTTAGATGATTAAGAGTAAAATATAATCATGCATCGTAAGAAAAATCTTGGCAAGGCTCAAAATTTGTCTGCTTTTTCAGACCTGGTTAGTTATCATAACCAATTACTAGTTGGAAAAACAGATCATGAGTTGCCTTTATGAAGAGATAAATCCAAACCAAGTGTTTATTTTTTAGATCTCATTTCAATTACTGTGTCCACCAAATCTTTGCTAAAATAGTCCCTTTCACAAAAAAGATTTAATTCAAATTTTTACTCTCTCTCTCTATAAATTTTAATGCACTCCTATTTAGTCAGTGCCAGTGAGGATATTCTACTTTTTCACACACTGGAAAACACTCCAGTGAAAAATGAATATAGGGGGGCCAGCACTGTGGCGAAGCAGGTTAAAACTCTGGCCTGAAGCATCGGCATCCCATATGGGCACCAGTTCTAGTCCCGGGTGCTGCACTTCCAATCCAGCACTTTGCTATAGGATGGGAAAGCAGTAGAAGATGGCTCAAGTCCTGGGACCCTGCACCCAGGTCGGAGACCAGGAAGAAGCTCATGGCTCCTGGCTTCAGATCGGTACAGCTCTGGACTTTGCGGCCATTTGGGGAGTGAACCAGCGGATGGAAAACCTCTCTGTCTGTCTCTACCTCTCTGTAACTCTGTCTTTCAAATAAATAAATCTTTCAAAAAATGAATATAGGTTATCAAAACTTTTGGTAAACATATAACAACTTTGACTTACTGATTTATAATAAAATAGTCACAGTGAAAACTGGTCTTTCCAAATAAAGCATTACAGTATTTATATGATCTACCCTAGAAGAAAAAAATTCAGGAATTGAAAAAGTTAGTTAGAAGTAATTTAAAAGTATCTGAGAACTTGTAAGGATTTTAGAGTGGAAATAATTTGAATTTTGCATTGCTTTGATTCCAAAAACTGAATTTTGGATTTTTTTCATTGTGGCCTGCCCCTCTGTCCTTACACATTTACACACATTGATTTTTGAAGGGGTAAGGAGGGAGGAAAAAAAAGAGGGAGAGAGTAACATACATCGTGAAATATGTATTTCATGCCTATGATAATAAAGGCATGCAACGTCAGTGTCAGAAATCTTTCTTGCTCTAAAGCGGAAGCACAGTGTGATGTAGATTTCAGTCTCACAGGAAGCCTACCAATCTCCCACGGATCCAGCTGTTCATGTGGTGTGCTCTGTGCTCTGACACAAAGCTGCACCAAAGTGCAGGACAGAACAGGGCAGTGCCAACAACTTATGCGCTTTTAGATTTCAGTGATTTTCAGCTCTGTCAATCCTTAAGGTAAAATATGCCCCATGCTGACGTTGTTTTAAATAAAGTACTTTATTTGGGAGTTAAATGGGAACTGGTTCACTCTGGTCATGTCCCTGAATGGACAATGCATCTTCAGAAAAGTTGATGGAAAATGTATACTATGAAAAACTACCCATCAATTTCAATATTTTTGCACCAAAATAATTTAATTGCATTTTTACATGATCTTTTTGAAGTATCCTTATTTCTTTCTTTTAAGATTAATTTATTTATTTGAAAGAGTTAGAGAGAGAAGGAGAGGCAGAGAGAGAGAGAGAGAGAGTTCTTCCATCTGCTGGTTCGCTCCCAAGATGGCCACAACAGCCAGAACTATGCCAATCCGAAGCCAGGAGCCAGGAGCGTCTTCCAGGTCTCCCACTCAGGTGCAGGGGCCCAAGGATTTGCGCCATCTTCTACTGCTTTCCCAGGCCATAGCAGAGAGCTGGATTGGAAGTGGAGCAGCTCAGACTCGAACTGGCACCCATATGGGATGCTGGCACTGCAGGCAGCGGGTTCACTTGCTACGCCACAGTGTCAGCCCCCCTCATGTTTTTCCATGCTGCTTAAATCTGCCTCCCTGAGGATTTTGATTCAGATTATAAGCAAGCATAAAGTACACACCTCAATTGTTAGCTGAGTAAAAATACTAAAAGGCTTTCTTAGCAAAAAATCCCTGACACCTTGTAAATAGTCTTTGTTTATGATTTATCAGTTGTTACAGATGCATGCAAAATAGGATTGTTTATGTCTCTGAAATGCAATATTTTTCAGGTTATAAGTACCTATTGGAATTTCATCATTTAATGTCATATTGCCTTTTCTTTTTCTTTGCTATTCTTCTGAGTTCAAGATTTCACTTCAATTTTTGTTTGTTTGTTTGTTTGCTTCCACAGAAAAAGCCAATGTGGTCAAGCATCCTCCAGTTGCTATCCTGCCTCTTGGCACTGGCAATGATCTGGCAAGATGCCTGCGATGGGGAGGAGGTAAAGCAGCCCCAAAACCCAGAAACACAGCACTGGACGTCCCACCCCCACAAAGAGCACATCCAGTGTTGCCTCACTGCATGATGCCTGCTGTGCAAATAACAGTATAATGGGTGCCACATGTTTGTGTTTGAACAGCAGTTTGGGGTAGGAAACAAATGGTGGACAGAAAGAGTGTAGGTGCTAGCTTTGATCTGATGCTAATTACTTGGCTTGTAGAGGAGAAGTTTCCAAATCTATTGAGTTTTTTTTTTTTTTTAGATTGATTTATTTATTTGAGAGGCAGAGTTACACGGGGAGAGAGAGAGAGAGAGAGAGAGAGAGAGAGAGAGGTCTTCCATCCGCTGATTCACTCCCCAAATGGCTGCAACGGTCAGAGCTGCACCCATCCAAAGCCAGGAGCCAGGAGCTTCTTCCAGGTCTCCCACATGGGTGTAGGGGTCCAAAGCATTTGGGCTGTCTTCCACCACTTTCCTCGGCCATAGTATAGAGCTGGATTGGAAGTGGAGCAGCTGGGACTCAAATTGGTACGCTTGTGGGTGCTGAAGGTGGAGGCTTAACCTGCTGTGCCATGGCACTGGCCCCAGAATTTTGTTTTGTTTTGTTTTGTTTTGTTTTCTTGTTTCAAAAATGAAGTCATCTTGAATAAACACCAAAGTAAGGTTCAGAATTTCAAATCACAAAAAGAGAGAAAGGTGAATGAATGACTATTTTAGGAATGAACATTAGTAATATTTGATCTTCGAGACTCACTTTATGCTAACTAGTGTGTTCTATACTTAGAATACAGAGATGAGAATGGGGGAAAAACAGATCCTTGATACTAGTGGGACATAAAGTGAATGTAAACTATAGGATTTTCTAGCAACAAATAAACAGATAGTTTGCAGTGCAAGGCACACATCATTGAGGAAATGACACAGTGGAGAAACCTAATGGCTGAGTAATGATACACCCGTATAAACGGAGACTGGATGTCACAGGCAGAAGGAACATCAGGTTCAGAGGCCCAGAGATGGCAAGGTATATGACTACTCAGGGAACTGAAAATGTAATAGGGCAGACGGAGCAGGGTCGGTGGAGAAAGGCTGTTTCAAGATGAAATCTTAAAATATTTTGTGGATTCGTTTATAGGTTATGCTTATCGGAAGATCAGTGACCAACACCAGCCTTTGCTAGAGAAGGGTGGAATTGTGTGGGAAATATTTTTAGCATCTAAACTTGCTTAGAGGAGTTTGGAAAGTGTCTGATAAGGCAGTGTGCATCAGAAATCCTTGGGGAGCTTGTTAACAACATAGTGGTTTACCGCCACCCCAAATATGCTGAATGGAAATCTCTAGAGGTTGGCACCTTAGCCAGCAGCTGTCTTTTTAAACAAACTCCCTAAGTAACTCTCATTGTACCAGGGCATTAGAGAGCAATTGTCCCTCGAGTCTGTCCCAAGCTGAGTCTGTAGACAGAATTAGAGACTACAACCAAGATAGAACCTATTTGGTGTATTCAATAAGGATGTGAAAGAGTATTCTAAGACATTGTGTGACGTCTCACCATATCTAAAGAGATGAAGACATAACCATTGTTCATGAGATTCTTGGGATTAGCAGTGTTCATACACGTGTACTGATAAAAGGGAGAAGATTAGATTCTTCTGGAATGCATACTTGATATCTATAGATTAACAATGTGAAAATGTCTTTGCTTCCAAATTAGAAAATGGCTGAAATCTCAAGTTCGATGGATCAATCTGTTTTTGGCATAGTCTATTGATTCTTTTGAATCCATGTACATGATATTATTGATGAACAAAGACGAGGACTGCAGCATATGTCTATATATATATATATATGATATAAATTCCAAATTTTTGTGAAACAGAATTAAAAAATAAATTTATTTTGATGTAAAATATTTTGAAATACATGTATTTCCATATTTTTGAAAAGATTAATTAATTAATTCAAAATGCAGAGTTATAGACAGAGGGGGAAATAGAGAGTCAGAGACTCCCCAAATGACTGCAATGACTAGGACAGGGTCAGGAAGAAGCCTGAAGCTTCATTCCAGGTCTCCCACATGGGTGCAGGGGCCCAGAAACTTTCTTGGGCCATCCTCCACTGCATTCCCAGACACATTAGCAGGGAGCTGGATTGGAAGTGGACAGCTGGGACTCGAACTGCTGCCTATATGAGACGCTGGCATCGCAGACAGCAGTGTCACCTGCTACATGCTACAATGTGGGCCTCTGTAAGCATATTACTGACAAATTGTCTGTGAATGCTTCCTTAGTGTTGGCACTGTTTTAGGTGCTAGATATAATGTGAGGAATTAAGTGGCTTGCTCCAGCCCTTTGCAGATTGTATTTTCACTGAGTTCATAGTCAATACATCAATGAGCCATGAAATACGTAACTGTGAATGAGGTCACAGTAGCAAAAGAAAGAATACAAGAATCCAGGAACCACTTAGCTGCGTGGTCAAGAAGGCCTCTCCGAATAGCCAACAAGTACAGGGCCTAGAAAAGGAGAAGTGGTTTTATCAGGTGTCTGTGTGAAAGGGCAGGTGGATGGGAGGTGGGGTGGCTGGAGCAGCAGTGGGGTGCTGAGCAGTTAGTGGGAGAGGGTGTGGGGAGATTGGGAAGATAATTGGGAAGCTGATGATGCAGAAAATTGTCGTAATAAGAATTTTACTGGATGGGATTTGAAGAATAGTTTGAGTTTCAGATACATAGTAACATAATTTACAAAAGCTGATTACTTATTTTTGCATGGAAAATAAACTGGTTAGAAAACGTGAACGCAGAGAGAAATATAGGTTGCTAAATGAGAACTTCTGTTATAGGTGTCCTAGTGAGAGAACAAAGTGAGCAGACGAGGGTGTTGGTGCCATTAGGATGAGTGGATAAGCAGGAGGCTTAGAGTGATCATCCTGGCTGGTGGGCTGCCTGGGGCTGTGGGGAAAACCAGGCGCCCAAGTTGAGCAGTTGGGGAGTTGGAGAAAACGTTTGCCTGGTCATATATATATATATATATATATATATATATATTTATATATAAAGAGATATATAAATATGTATTATAAAATACATATGTTATAAAATAAATATATTATATAAAATATATAATATATATTATAAAATAAATTTATATATAAATATATATAAAGAAACATACTTTGGAATGGGATTATTTCTTGCTGGATATATTGCTAAACAACTATTTGTTAGATTCTTAATCAGAATTTGAAGAAAATTACAGTGCATGTCTTGTATTGGTCCTTGCACTGAACTGTTGAATTGTTTGTGCAGCATACATGTTGAGTACCTCAAGTAGTCTTATTAATTATTTTTATGCTTAAATTTTTAGAAAGAAAATACTAATAATCATTTGGCTCACTTAAGGTCAATAGATTGCACTGACTCTTTTCTACATGAATGCATTTCTGTGTTTTGGGAAGGATAACAATAAGAAAGTAGGTTCCTATGAAATTCAAAAAATATTTAATTAGCATTCCCTTTGCAATTTTCTGAAAACAATTAATCTTTCCAACAAAAAATCTGAAGATGATTGCAAGGCAAAAATTGTTTCTGTAGAGTGAGGTGGTAAGTTACAAAGATTTATATGGAGCACGCTCCTACAAATATTTGGTTTTGATTTTCTTCCCGTGATTTTCATTTGTAAACATTTCAATGACTTTTTAGGCACATTCGTGCATTGTGATAGCATCACACTATTAAAGAGAAAATAAATATTAATTATGTTTTCACTTGCTTGTCAACCTAGAATAATGAATTGTTATTCAATAATTTAAATAATATAGTATTTAATTATTTTTAAAGTCAATATAATAAAAGTAAAATAGCATAATCCTTTTCTGTAAATAAGCTTGCATACTTAGTGGACTTGCCTTTTTTTTTTTTTTTTTTTGACAGGCAGAGTTAGAGAGAGACAAGAGAGAAAGGTCATCCTTTCCATTTGTTCACCCCCAAACTGTCCCGTAGCAGCCGGGACAGAACCGGCGCCCCAACCAGGACTAGAACCCGGGTTGCCGGTGCCGCGGGCGGAGGATAAGCCTAGTGAGCCGCGGCACAGGCCGATCATATTCTTTTTTTTGTTTGTTTGTTTTTTTTTTTTTTTTTTTTTGACAGGAAGAGTTATAGACAGTGAGAGAGAGAGAGACAGAGAGATTTTGTAATTCTGCAAATACATTTATTTATTGCCTCCTTCCATTTTTCCATGACTAGAAGAGTGATTGATCTTAGACTTTTTCATATTTAATCATAAAAACCTCTAATAATATATCCAGGGGTAAAGCTTTCAGGCCAAGTGAACCTGCAGTGATTAGTGTCCATGAATTCATTCCTATCTGGTTCTCGCCTGCTTGGTTACTGTTCCTACGTTGTTGAAGTGCTGTGTGGAACACTGCTGCTATTACCTGAGAGATAGCCGAGGGAAAGTCCAATATTTGACTTAAGGCATTATTATTTACTCATATTACTGTATGTAGCAACATGCCATATTATTTTATACAGAATCATTTATGACTGAAAACACATAATACTAGGATTTTTCTGAAACAAGAGTAGAATTTGGACAATAGGTGACTATGTTTAACTTTTATTTCATTCAATGGTGAAAATATATAACTATATATAAAATTTATATGAAGAGACTATTACTTATACTTTGTTTTGTATTATTTTTTAAAAGATTTATTTATTTGAAAGTGAGAGAGAGAGATTGGTCACCTGTTTCACTCCCCAAAAGTCCACAACACTGAGGTCTTTGACCAGTTCAAAACCAGAAGTCAACAATTCTATCTGGAATTCCTATATGGGTGACAGGAACGCAAGAACTTGGGCCATCATCTGCAGCCTTCCAGGAGCATTAGCAAGAAATTGGACTCGAAAGTGCAGATGACCAGGTTGGCTCTCTTAGACGAGATGCACGTGTCCCAGGAGGTGGCTTAGCCTGCTGCAGCATAGTGCTCCTCTATTTGTACTTCTTAAAAAAATAAAATATGAAGAAGAATCAGATGTTGATAACGAAGGTAGAAGAACTATTAAGGCAGAAGAAGGAAGGAAGGAAGGAAGGAAGGAGCAGGGAGGGAGGAAGGAAAGAGAAGGGAGGGAGTATCATAGTCTTAGAATTATATCTATGAACCACATTACGTCTTTTTATTAATATCACATTAACATGAGAATTGATGAGAATCGTGTTACAGTAATTATCATGCATTTGTTATGACTTGAGAATCTAATATATTATTAAATTCCTTCAAAAAGAGAAAAATTTAAAAAGAAACACTGGAAATATGTTTATATGATTATTTTAACCTTAAAGTTTAAACCATTCAATATCTTACCATGTACTATTATATGCCAATTACTGATATGAGTATTTTGAATTATTCTCTAATCCATTTCTCTTTTGAAATAATACTTGATTCTATGTTTATATTGATAGAATCATCATTCATTTCACCCATTGCTATATGTATTTACCAGTTCATAATTTTTTAACCTGTACAAGCTCCAAAGCAGGAGTTACTGGTTTCTGGCTGCCTCCCATCCTAGAGTTAGTGGAAAAAAGCACCTACCCTTTATTAGTGAATATAGGTGTGAGATTCTCTGTTCTTTTTTCTATTGACTCTTAGTTTTTCCAAGGATATGTGTGCTAACAGCTCTAAAGAGGACACAGGGTGTATTCCATCTCCTCGTTCAAGTAAAATTTTAAGTTAGAGGCCAAAAATTGGACACAGTAAAATAAAGCATTGAAAAGAAATTCCCACTCAAAATAATTATGTGAGGAGGGATTAAATTAGCACAATATTTTTTGAAGATTTATTTATTTAGAAGGCAGAGATAGAGAATGAAAGAACAAGATTCACATTTTATTCACTCCCCAAATACCTGCAAAAAAGCTAGGTGGAAACCAGAAACCAAGAGGTTTATAGAGGTCTCCCATGCAGGTGGCAGGAATCCAAGTTCTTGGGCCATCATTCACCGCCTTCCCAAGCACATTAGCAGGAAGCTGGACTCGAAGTATAAGAGCTGGGAATTGAACCAGGCACTCTGATATCCAGCTTAACTTGATGCATCACAATGTTTGGCTCCAGCACAGTATTTTAACTTGATGTTCTCATCATGAGTAGTATTATGTTGAGAATGTTCTGTTATATGTTTGTGGCCTTTCTATAAAAACCTTATATACATTGTCTCATTTAGACATCACAATGAACCTAAGGGAGGGACTGATGTTGAGGGAGGTAGAAAGCAAAACCAGTATGTCGCATAGCCAGGCTTCGGCTGCAATCTGAGTGATGTCATACAGTCACAGTTAAGTTTAAGACAAAGTATAGCATTAAGCAATATTTTTTTTCAGGCCATAGTAGATTCATTAAAATGTTGGAATTGTTGAGCCTTTATTCTAGAGTAGATGTGGCAAGAGGAAGCTGTAATGGGAAATTGCGAGTCCTATAACCACAGGGCAGATCACTGGTTGTATGGGGATCCTAATTTTGAGAGTCCTGTTCTGGGAGATTGTATGAGATGGGGATCTGATCTATTGTTTGGGGAAGGTGGCCTCCAAAATGAAAGGTTATCAAATTTGAAACCATCCCATGGATGTAGAGGCAAACCAGTTAAAGAGAAAGGAGGTACTGGCAGGTAGAGTGAAGAATACAAAAACACAGCTCAAATGAGTAAGACATATTGTTGGAATTGAAAGTTTTCTGTGCCTCCAGAGAGGACAGTGTGAAGGGAGTATACTCCTGGAAATGGAGAAGTCCGCAATGGCATCTTGGTTTTTTGGGGGTGGTGACTTTCTGAGATAGGATATGTAGGAGGGAGACATGGAAACAGATAACTCATTGCACTTTTCATATATAGATTTGAAGTCTCGTGTGGGCATGTGATGGAAATGTGCATGGGGCTGTTGAATAGACTGATCGCTGGCACCATAAAAGTGAAATAGAAGTTAAACTAAGAATAAAATCTTGGCATGAGTATGAGGTATGATAGGAACCTGCTTTAAATGCATTATCTAACTTCAGAGTAATATACTCACATATGCTCAAGCATGCATAAATATAGGTTTTGCTATTTGGTTATATACATATATATATTTCAAGATAAAATTTTTTGTTAGGTTATGAAGGTGAGAATCTGATGAAAATCCTGAAAGATATCGAAAGCAGCACAGAAGTGATGTTGGACAGGTGGAAGTTTGAAGTCATACCTAACGACAAAGATGAGAAGGGAGACCCAGTGCCTTACAGTATCATCAATAACTACTTTTCCATCGGCGTGGTAAGATTTACCTCTGATTTTATTTGCCTGTCCTCAAAGATCAAACTGTGAGAATATTTATTCAATGAAGATTTACTGACTGTGAATAATTCATTTTTATCGCTGCATCAGAAAAACACCTCTTTTAATGAGAATGGCCTATGGTAAGATACCAATAAGATACTCCCAAGTATAAGAAAATAAGCTACGGTTCTGTAGTAGTGAAAATCTGAAAACATTGCACTCCATCTTATCTTACTTTGACAGAGTTATGACACTGTCAGTAGGACTAAAAAATAAGCAAAAAGTCTGTGAAAATTCTTACTACTATTATGAGTTGATCTAACACCCCTAATATTTGGAAATCTTAAGATATTCCTGGATAATTCTTGGATCGAAGATGATATCTATGGAAAAAAGAAAGCTACATAGGAAAGATACTCATGTGATTCTTATATGGCACTCTGAAAGCCACACTGAGAAAAAGAAATTTATAAATTCTATTTTTAAGAAAGAAAAATCAATAAAATAACTTAATACTCATGCTAGGAAATTTGATATAATGATAATATGTGGAATCTTCAAAAAGTTCATGGAAAATGCATTTCCATGATTTTGATACTAGTTTGGGTGTTTTATAAAGGCCCATGTGTTGCAGGCTTTTTTCCCCAAAAGCCTCAGTTTTTGTTTTTAAGATGTATGTGTTATTTAGAAGTCAGAGAGAAATATATATATATATTTTATATATGTATATAAATATATATATGTATACATATATATAAATATATATATATATATTCCATGCATTGGTACACTCCCAAAATGGCTGCAACACCCAGGGATAGGCCAAGCCAAAGCCATGAGCCCAGAACTTCATTTGGGTGTCCCACCTGGATGACAGCACCCTAAAAACTTGGGCCATCTCTTACTGTTTTCCCAGGAGCATTAGTAGGGAGCTGGACCAGAAGTGGATGCTCTAGGCCTCAAACTGGCACTCCCTAATGGGGCGCAGGGATCACAGGCATTGCCTTAACACACTACCCCCTGAAAGCTTTATGTTATTGACAATAAGAAAGTTGAAACATATTCTCATGACGGTGTTTGGAAGTAAGGCACGGCCTTCAGAAAGTGAGCATGTTGGATCACTTGGTTAGATGGAGCTCCCATGGGTAGAATCATGGTTGCTTTAGAAGGAGAGGCGAAGACAGACAGCCCTATGCCCTTCTTGCCATGTGGTTCTGCCACACCTTGAGCTTCTGCCAGCAAGAATGCTGTCATCAGGGACCAAACCAATGAACCTCAAGCTGTGAGCCAAAATAATCTTCTTCCTTTCATTGCAGTAACATAAATCTTACTACTGCAGGTATATCTAAAGCTTGTGTACACGTGAATTTCAGAAACTGTTGCACCCTGTAAACTTATCTTTCAAACCCATTATTCCATGGATAACTTGGGGTTCCCTCATGGAAGCCAAGATAAAAGATTTATTAAGTAAATACTGTACTAATATATCTATTTAGTGGAAATTACAAATGCATATCAAAAATTGATCATATATTATAAACATAAGTGTCAAGGACATATATGATACTTATATACAGATATGTATAGAGATCTAGATATATATTGAAATATAGATAATGTAAACAATGAATATACCTCGAGGCAATTTTTTAATAAAGATTTATTTTATTTATTTGAAAGGCAGAGTAACAGAAGGAGAGAGAGAGAGAGAGACAAAGACAAAGAGATCTTCCTTCTGCTGTTTCACTCTCCAGATGGCCTCCTTGGCCAAGACTAGGCCATTCCAGAGATAGGGGCCCAGAACTCCATCCAGGTCACGAGTGACAGAGGTATAAGTATTTGGGCCATCTTCTACTGCTTTCCCAAGCACATTAGGAGGGAACTGGACCTGAAGCGGAGCACCTGGGAATAGAATTGCCATTCCCATTATGCCAAAACGCTGGTCCCTAGCAGCAGTTTCCTGAGAAATGCCTATTAATGCAAGCACCTAAGAAATCTGATCAAAGCAAACAGTGGAAGAATGAAATGTGACATAGCGGGTAAAGCTGCCACCTGCAGCGCTGGGATCCCATATGGGCACTGGTTCGAGTCCTGGCTGCCCCACTTCCCAGCCAGCTTTCTGCTATGGCCTGGGAAAGCAGTAGAAGATGGCCCAAGTGCTTGGGCCCCCACACCTGTGTGGGAGCTCATGGCTTCGGATTGACCCAGCTCTGGCCATTGCAACCATTTGGGGAGTGAACCAGTGGATGCAAGATCTCTCTCTCTCTCTTTTTCTCTCTCTCTGTAATTCTAGCTTTCAAACAAATAAATAAATCTTTAAGAAAAAAAGAATGGTAAAAAAGGATCAAAATGATAAGTCAGTATTTTAGGTAAAATGTGTAAGAATTTATGCATAACCTAATCAATTATTTATGCAAAGCAATACATTTTGATAAATATGTAGAAGATTCTAAATGATAATTTCTTTGTCACAGTGCAATAAAAACTGGAAATAAAAACAAACCAAGAAGACATCAAAACATGGAGAAATTTGTGGGTTTCTTATTTTTTTTTTTTATTTTTTTTTGACAGGCAGAGTGGACAGTGAGAGAGAGAGAGACAGAGAGAAAGGTCTTCCTTTGCCGTTGGTTCACCCTCCAATGGCCGCCACGGCCGGCGCGCTGCGACCGGCGCACCGCGCTGATCCGATGGCAGGAGCCAGGAGCCAGGAGCCAGGTGCTTTTCCTGGTCTCCCATGGGGTGCAGGGCCCAAGCACCTGGGCCATCCTCCACTGCACTCCCTGGCCACAGCAGAGGGCTGGCCTGGAAGAGGGGCAACCGGGACAGAATCCGGCGCCCCGACCGGGACTAGAACCCGGTGTGCCGGCGCCGCTAGGCGGAGGATTAGCCTAGTGAGCCGCGGCGCTGGCCGGGTTTCTTAAACAAAAGGATCTATTTATTTATTTCAAAGTTAGAGAGACAGAGTGGGAAAGACAGAAATATATTCAATCCACTGGTTCACTTCCCAGGCTGAAGCCAGCAACCAGAAACTCCATCTGGGTCACCCATGTGAGTGACAAGGACACAAATACTTGGGCCTTCTACTGCTGCTTTCCTAGGTGCATTAGCAGGAACCTGGACCAGAAGCAGAGCAGCTGAGACCACTCTAATCAGATTGCACAAGCTGCAGCTTAACCCACTGAGACACAATGCTAGCCCCCAAACTTGAGGGTTTCAAGTGAGCATTAGTCTAAATAATTTTTTGGTGAAATTGAAATAAAAACTGAAATGGAGGCTGGCGCAGTGGCACAGTAGGTTAATCTTCCGCCTGCAGCACCAGCATCCCGTATGGGCGTCAGTTCTAGCCCCGGCTGCTCCTGTTACAATCAAGCTCTCTGCTATGGCCTGGGAAAGCAGTAGAAGACGGCTCAAGTCCTTGGGCCCCTGAACCCATGTGGGAGACCAGGAAGAGACACCTGGCTCCTGGCTTTGGATCGGCACAGCTCTGGCCGTTGCGGCCATTTGGGGAGTGAATCCACTGACAGAACTTTCTCTCTGTCTCTCCCTCTCACTGTCTGTAACTCTACCTCTCAAATAAATAAATAAAATATTAAAAAAAAAAACAATGGAAATGGTATTAGTTAGCAGTTTACATATGTATCCAGAGTTTGTATACAAACCAATAGGGGGCCGGCGCCATGGCTCACTAGGCTAATCCTCCACCTGCAGCGCCAGCATTCTGGGTTCTAGTCCCAGTTGGGGCGCTGGTTCTGTCCCAGTTGCTCCTCTTCCAGTCCAGCTCTCTGCTGTGGCCCGGGAAGGCAGTGGAGGATGGGCCAAGTGCTTGGGCCCTGCACCCGCATGGGAGACCAGAAGGAAACACCTGGCTCCTGGCTTCGGACCGGAATAGCGTCCATTTAGGGGGTGAACCAACAGAAGGAAGACCTTTCTCTCTCTCTCTCTCTCTCTCTCTCTCTCACTGTCTAACTCTGCCTGTCAAAAAAAAAAAAAAAAAAAACTAATAGGGTATGGTAAAAATGGTATACATAAAAAAGTTATAGCCATAATGGTTTTATTATGTTTAAAAATATAAAAATAAGAAAATATTCAAATTAAGAAAGAGCTGGGGAAAATACACAAGAAAAACAAAGAATGTGTAACTAATTAACAAGTATTAGAAAACTTGGCAAAAACAACAAAATTATAGCAACTACAACACCAAAGCTTTTTTCTCCAAAAGAAATAAATGAATAGAATACACAAACACTTAGCAAGTATATTTTCTAACAGAAAGAAATATACACACGGGATACTAAATACAAAACCACAGCTATGGGAAATATTTGAATAATTATGAGTATAGCATGTGTTTTTCTGGCAATAAGCTTTGGCATATAGAAGAAATGGGACATTTTCCATCCATACGTAAGTAGGTGAAATTTGCTGAAGAGGAATCGGTAGCAAATCTAACCCAAGGGTTCTGATTGTGAGCTGGTGGCAGAGTCACCGGAAGGGTTTGTCAGAACACAGATTGCTGAGGCTGGCATAATGGCACACAACACATTAAGACACTGCTTCAGATCCAGCTCTCTGCTAACGAGCAGGGGAAAGCAGCAGAGTGCTTGGGCCCCTGCACCCACGTGGGAGACCTAGATCAAGCTCCAGGCTCCTGGCTTCAGCTCCCTGCTAATGCACACAGGAAAATAACAGAGGATGGCCCAAGTGCTTAGGCCCCTGTGCCCAGGCTCCTGGCTTTGATGTGTTCCTACCATCACTGTTGCAACCATTTGGAAAGTGAACCAGCAAAGGAAAGATCTCTTTTTCTCTGTCTCTCCCTTTCTCTGTATAACTCTACCTTTCAAATAAACAAAATAAATCTTTTTTATAAAAAATGCAGATTGCTGGTCTCCACACCCAGATCTTCTGTCTCAACAGGTATTAGGTAGGTTCTAAAATTACATTTCTTACAAGTTCATAGCTGGTCCCAAAGTTGTATGTCCAATATCACACTGTGATAC